TTTTGTATATTTATGTATTAAAATTCAAACGTAGTGATGTCTTCATATTTATATCAGAAAATATCATTTTCTAAACTTTTTAATTTTAGCCTATTAAAGTTCCATAATTCCATTTAAAGAGAAAATGGGGAAAAAAGACGAAAATAAATATGCTAAACAGAAGTGTTTAATTTCCTTTATAAATTTTCCTATACAAAAATCTTTAATTATTAAGAAAATGTATGGTAAATAAAAAATGCAGAAACAACTTTTTTGTGGATATCTACTTTATTACACAAGTGTTTCTCTTTGTTCATTCAGTCGAGAACAAATTACATTGTTGATCACAATGTACAGTTCAAAATCATAGCCATTTCACCATTCGAAAATAATTATGCGGGTACATTCTGACATATTGTTTTTTTAATTCATCGAGAATAGTCGACACCTGCTTGTTTGGTGGCGCTCCTCGAGTAAGCTAAAAAACTGAGAAAGTGATTCCTCACCTCAGCAATAGGAATTACTACAGCGACCTCGAGAAACTCCCACGTCCATGGCTTAAGTTAACATCACAATACAGTTTATATACAGGGTGTCCCGTAAAGAGTGTAACACCCGCAAATGGGGGGTTGCTAGGGTGACTCTGAACAACTTTTTCCTTTACCAAAATGTTGTTTGAACCTTCGTTTTTGAATTATTAATGAAAAACACTGGCCAATCAGAGCCCGCGTCCAGGCACGAAGAGTAGAGACTCATCCGCGTGCAATCGTGAACAAATGTGTACGCGTGACTTCTCGGTTATCGATCGCTGTCAAAAAAATTTAACTCTGCTATTTTTATAAGGCTTAGAGAAAGGGTTTTTTGCCGTCATTCCGACGTTTGTATAACAATACGTACAGTGGTGTTGTCTCCTGTCACCGTAACGTTGACTCCTCCCTTTCGAGCTAGAGCTGCATAATATTCTTGCAGATTTTCAGTTCTAACAAACATCTCACGTGAGATGTTCCATATGTCTGTAGCCAAAATCTTAAGTGTGGCTTCGCTCTGTACACACATAGTACCACCTTGCCCTCTATATCCTGCAAATGCATATTGTCTGCATAGATCTGCATATTGTCGGAGTTGGATTGTTGGTTTGTTAATGGATATGAAGCTATTTCGATAAATTTCCATAGCCATACTTGCCACAGCTGTGAAGTTACCTTCCGGGATTCCTTCACTAATAACATAGTCCGTATCGAAGTGGTAGAGCTTCGTGATGACGTCAGGTATGGTGGTTAGGTTAGTCACGTTGGTATTTGCAGCCTGCTCTATAACCCATGTCAGGGGGAAAACACCCTGATTGGTCAAGCGATTCATACTCGCTCATAAAGTCTATAAATTTTTGACGGAGTTCAGGGTTTTTTCTAAATCTACGTTCTAGACAAATGAGACGGCGTTTCGCTTGTCTCGCGATTCTCCTAATTCTACTATTTTGTCGTTGAAAGGTATGCTTACAACGTATCGTCCTTCGTCGTTTCGAGTCGTTGTGCTTCTAAAATGTTCCTCACATTCGTTGCTACTCGCGTCGACGCTCGAGGGTTTCCGACGGCTAACGTCCTCTACCTCCCAGAAACGCAAGCTCGAATTGTGAAATTGCCCATTTGTTATCGCGTGACACGTTTTTATGCCTTTTCTTTTTTCGACCGGCCAATTCACCGCCCAACCTACCACCCAAGACCCATTCGAGACGCGTTTTCTGCCAGATAAGGTTTCCTGGGCCTACTCTGTGTTGTCCGACGCATAGCAATCGCCAAAACAGACCAGCGCCAATCAAGAGGTCAATGCGATTGGGCTGTTGGAATTCTGGATCGGCCGGAACGACGCCGAAAGGAATCGGAATGTCTACGTTATTCAACAGAACATTCGGCATTATTTCGGTATCTCCTTCAAAACCAGACACGATACCTCCGAATGAAAATTGTTACATCCCGAGCTGATTTGCAAACGCTCCTGAGATCTAACAGGATTCTTGGCTCCGCCTATGCCCACCACGATCATTTCCGCGGCCGTAGGTCGGAGACCGATTCTCTTACAGAACCGCTCCGTAACAAAATGAGCTTGCGATCCAACGTCTAACAAAGTGCGACATTTATGTTTCTTGCCCCCTCTATCAGTTACCAAAACTATAGCGGTCGATAACACCGTGCATTCGTTCGAGGCACCCCTTGAATCCGACACGCATGACGGGCGGTACATCCGTCGATTCGTTCTCCAGCGGTCTCTCGTCCCGATGCAACACGGTGTGGTCCTTGCTTCCGCATTTCCAGGACTTTCCGCGGGTACAATTTTTAATACTATGGCCTAGCGATAAGCAATTGAAGCATACGTCTAGTCGCTTTATTATCTCGTGCTTCTCCGGGAAAGGTAAGGCTAGCAATTTCGAACAATGTTGCAGCGCATGCTCAGCCTTGCATAACAAACATGTAGTTAGTTGGTTAGCAAGGTGAAATGCTGCTACATAATGTTTGGTATGATCTCCGCGATTTTGCTTATTCTTCGCGGTCACGCTCGTTGCACCCGACGTGGCCGAGCTGGTTGATTCCTTACAGGCTAAATATTGCGATCGTTGCTCTAAGAATTTGGCGAATTCGCGCAACGCGGGTCTATTCGGTGTGTCTATGATACGTTTTTCCCATTCATCAAGAGATGATGAATCTATTCTCTTAGACAAATGCGAGCTAATTAGTGCCTCCCACAGTCCGGAGGGCTTCAGTACTGATTCTAAGGCACGAACATGATTCGTCGCGGTATCTATGAATTGAGACAACCCTACCGGCCCATGTATTCCATATTTCGTCCTTAAAAGTTGCTGATGTCTGGGTACCAATAGTTCTTTTACCACTCCCAATTTCCTTTTCGGCTGTGTAACCTTTTGCACGCTTGATGTACTTATTAGTTGTTTTTTCAGTCTTTCGATTTCCCATGAGATTAGGCACACGTCATCTGGTTTCGACGTCCTTCTCTCCTCTGTTTTTTTTTGGTCCATTGTATTTCAACTATGCGCCTAGGCAACGACCGCGGGACCCGAGCCGCAGGGGGCCGTAGAAAAGGGAGCAGCGCAGGCTGCACCCCCACCCCACGGCTTGCAAGGCCCTAACGGCCGAAGAAGCGTATAAAAACGGGAAAAAGGGCAGCGGCCCACACATTATCGTACCTAACCATCGACCAGCGAACCAACGTCATTTTAATATTCGTCGTTTTAAGCCCTTGTAATTCTTTACTCTTACATAAATAATTACTTTTTCATACAAAAGTCTGTTTTTACTATTCGAAAATTACAAATACATACATATGTGCTACTATGTTAATACGTTTGTTAAGATGTGTTAATACTAGTCCGATTTATGTCGTGTTTGGACTCGTTTTCATTGGAAGAACCTCATGAAAATTATAAAAAGGAAAATTTTCGTCATTTAATGACTCATTGCATCGCGCACGTTATCCCGTGCAAATACCACGTCTCGCTTATTCCCGCAACATCTATTGATTTTCCTTGTCGATTTGTTGTTTTAGTATGGTGAACTGGAGGCATTGATAAGTGGTGGGGATTGACTGTTTAAATTTAGTGTGGGTGTATTAATTTCTAAATGAGTTATGTGAAAAAATTAATTTGTTGTACACAAAACTTCAAGAAATATAATGGTACTTTTCCAGATTTTTAAGCATATTGTTTTACTTAAAAAACTACAAAATAAAAATTTCATATATATAATATATGGTTTTTTAACACTGGCCAATTGACCTCAGATGAAGGATAAGAAGTATTTTCAATGGAAGTGCCTTCATCATGCTACACAAAGGACTCTTATAAGTGAGTTTTACGCCATCGCATTAGCCAAAAGATTCTAATCCTGATTGTTGATACAAAAAAAAATATATATGGCTTTTTCGAGCATTTGAAGGTCATTTAAAACATACAGTGTATTTCATTTAACTGGAAACACAAATATCTCGCAGACAGTTGAAGATATTAAAAGATTGTTATTCTAAAAGTTGTTTGGTACGGAGTGGGATATTGTTTGGTGTAAATAGTTCTTTTGTGTATGAAATTGCACGAGAGATTTCAAAGTCAATTTAATTTTTTTAAGTACGCTTGTTATTATCTCATCTGTAGTTCTTATTTTATTCTGGTTTGAATCGGTAACATTGGAAATGACATAGAAATGATAATAGGATTCACGAACATTGTATGTTAAGTTTATTCTAGATTCTATACTATGTGTTATATTTATCCCACATTCCTCATCTACAATAAGGCAAATAAAATTTAATAATTTTTTGCAAAATACAATCTAATGTACCTAATCAGCTAAGGGATATTGTTTCAAGATGCAATAGTTCACAGTGTGAATATAGAGGTCAGTGAATGTTTTCGATTTTGCTAGTAATGCTAAGTAAGAGCATAACCTTAAATTTATTTTGAATCGGTTTCTTTGTCTCGTTAGAGAAGTAAACTTATTTCTTAACTCTTAAAACAGGTTAACGAATATAAAAATGCCGGATCATTTGGGAGAAGATATGCGAAAAGTAAAAAATGAAGAAGCAAAGGAAGAAAAAGAAATAAAATGTAAGCTTTGACGTGAATTAATTGTCCGCTTTTCGTTGTTATGGTTTTACAGAGTTTATTATACATTTATCATGTCTTCAGCTCTGGATGAAGCAGATATTGCGTTACTCAAGACTTATGTAAGTGAATTTTATAATGGTTTTGGTAAAAGAAATTTTTTTCACACAAAAATTTGATGTGACATCAAATAGTCTTTAAATTGAACTAATAAGAGCAACAACACTACTTAACGTATTACTTTTTATGTAGGGTCAAGGACAATATACAAAAAGTATCAAAGCTGTTGAAGAAGATATACAGACAATAATTAAACGTGTTAATGAATTAACAGGAATCAAAGAATCTGACACTGGTTTAGCACCACCTGCTTTATGGGACTTAGCTGCGGATAAACAAACCTTACAAAATGAGCAACCACTGCAAGTTGCACGTTGTACTAAAATAATAAATGCCAATTCTGATGACCCAAAATATATTATAAATGTAAAACAGTTTGCAAAGTTTGTAGTTGACCTAGCAGATTCAGTTGCTCCAACAGATATAGAAGAAGGTATGCGAGTAGGAGTAGATCGTAATAAATATCAAATTCATATTCCACTTCCACCAAAAATTGATCCAACTGTGACAATGATGCAAGTTGAAGAAAAACCTGATGTCACATATAGTGATGTTGGTGGTTGTAAAGAACAAATTGAGAAATTAAGAGAAGTTGTTGAAACACCTTTATTACATGTTAGTATTTTATAATTCCTAATTAATATATTTATTGTACATACAACAAAATAATTATACCAAATATAATGATTTATTTATTACAGCCAGAAAAATTTGTTAACTTAGGAATTGAACCACCTAAGGGGGTATTATTATTTGGTCCACCAGGTACAGGCAAAACCTTATGTGCCAGAGCTGTAGCTAATAGAACGGATGCTTGTTTTATTCGTGTTATTGGTTCTGAATTGGTTCAAAAGTATGTTGGTGAGGTATGTAAAATATATTTTACTTCCCAGAACTATTGATTGAAGCATAACTAATCAGTAGAATAGTCAGAAAAAAATAAAAGAAGCTCAAGTAAACATAGGTTGACAAATAAATGATTTTATAATTATTTTGCTTATTTTGTAAATGGAATTCTTAATACCACTGATATCATAATTGTCTAATATGTCACTAATTCTTAAGTATTGTTTAAACAAATACATTTAAGAAAGAAGTTTAAAGAGGGGATTATATATTTTGTATAAAATTTGCGAAAATTAGAAAGCTACTTCAATGATTAATATTATAGCCATTTCACATACATGTAGTATCTAGAATCAATGATTCTACAGCATATATCATTATATGAGAAAATTAAATTATGGAGTAAAAAATCAGATGATCGAAAAATGATTTTTCTATTTATATTTAAGAAAATCTTCCTATTTGTTTTCATATATTTTATCAGTCAGTTATGTATTCGTCATTAGTCCTGAAAACCCTATAAATTAGGAAGAAAATGTAATGAACGTAATATTTTATTTCATAAACATATGGTATCCATGTTGATGGTAGGGTGCCCGTATGGTAAGAGAATTATTTGAAATGGCACGTAGTAAGAAAGCATGTTTAATATTTTTTGATGAAATTGATGCCATTGGAGGAGCTCGTTTCGACGATGGAGCTGGTGGAGATAATGAAGTGCAACGTACTATGTTGGAACTTATTAATCAATTAGATGGGTAAAAACTAACTTTACTTTATACAGGGTATATCCGAATTGGTGGTATAACCCGAAAAGGCATGAATCTACATGAAGAAATAATTCGAAAATGTAGAGTAACAGTTTTTTATACGAAGCTTCATTTCTGAATAAATCAATATTAAAGATTCGTCAAGTACATGTACACTTGCACATGATCTCACGTACGCCTTCGTCTAACAGATATTGCAAACTACATGTATTGCTGTTTCAATTTATCATATTAGATAGTGAAAGATAAACAATGAAATAAAAATAAGAAATAATATCCCTACTGGATCGACTGTAATGGTAAAATAGCTTGGTCATCACAATCCCTGGACTTGACATCGATGGGTTTTTTGTTTATGGAGCTACGTCAAATCTCTTGTGTATTATGACGAGAATGCAAGTAGGAAACAGCTCAAAGAGAAAATTATTTTTGTATTCGAACATTGGAAAACAGAAAATACTACAAAAGAAGTTTGCAGAAGCGTAAATGTATTCGACAAATCATCAACATTGATTTATTTGGAAATGAAACTTCCTATGAAATGTTACACTACATTTTTTAATTACTTTTCATGTAGATTCACCCCTCTTCGGATTCTACCACCAGTTCGGAAACCCCTATATACTATGTTTTTAAGGATTAAGGTTTTTAAGGAATATAAATAAAACATATTTCAGCTTTGACCCACGAGGTAACATTAAAGTATTAATGGCAACAAATAGACCAGATACATTAGATCCAGCGCTGATGCGACCGGGACGTTTAGACAGGAAAGTAGAATTTGGATTACCAGATTTAGAAGGACGAACGCACATTTTCAAAATCCATGCACGTTCGATGAGTGTTGAAAGGGATATCAGATTTGAACTTCTTGCACGTTTGTGTCCCAATAGTACTGGAGCTGAAATTCGTTCCGTTTGCACTGAAGCTGGTATGTTTGCCATTCGTGCACGTCGTAAAGTAGCTACAGAAAAAGATTTTCTAGAAGCCGTAAACAAAGTGATTAAGTCTTATGCTAAATTCTCTGCAACTCCCAAATATATGACTTATAACTAAATTCATGACCAATTTTTTTTGTTCTAAATATAAAATACAAATTAATTATAAATTATAAAATGTAAAATAAATTACAATTTGCTTTTTACCTAGTATTATATATTCTTTACTTCTAAATAGATTTTTTTCGTTTAAAATAAATTTGCATTTATATATCATTGCAATTCTGAAAATTGGGTCTTGCCTTCAAAATTTCGTGGAAATTGAATTTCAGTGGCGCATCTGGTTTGTTAATTAAGAGAGATACCATTCCAAGTTCATTACCATGCCAAGAAAATTTGAACCGCTGACATATCTGCACAAAATGAAATAACTTATATTATTTTATATACTTCAGATAAAATAATTCAATTTTAATAAAACGCATTTTGCTTTATATTTACATACTTTATATAAAATATTTTACATGGTAAAGTTTCAAAGATACATAAATGTAAATATACATCGTTATGTTTAGTGTAATCATCCAAAACATTTCTGTCTTTTTAATCATATAAAAGAGTAGTAAAAGAAGAACATAGGATTTGTAGGAAGAAACATTATGGTGGTTAAATTATTTATGTATGAACATAAATACATGTTTTTTTTTAATGGAATAATAGAATTATATATTTTCTGTCACTCTTCATTCTGCAACAGCTGACATTAAAATAAATTCAACTATGTACAGTATGTCCGGTTTATCTCAGAATACGGAAATATTTCGAAATCTACAAATGATACAAAAAAATGTTCCACATGAAAATTGTAGGGTATAGGGGGCGACATATTGTTTTGGTATCTTTTGACCTTGCAATGACCTTGAAAAGCCCTGTAAAGGTCATGTTTAAGTTTTTAAATGGGAACGTATATTTTTGATTATATCTTCTTGTAGCTCACATCGAGACGTTTTCAAAACACTGCAATCTTGTGGTTTTTGCATAAATTATTATCGAAATATCAGCTTCCAAGTTTTACATGTCACCGGCAATTAGCGTCACCCGATGTACACCGCAGGGACAAATAAATATGTTTTTCATCTAATCCGAAAATCTAATCCGAAAAAAATCGGGCTACCCGAGTGTACGTATGTATCGGCAACCCGTTCAATTTTTGCAGGCCCAATCCCACACTGACGACCCGCACACTCCTAATGATTACATACTAGGAGTGTATGGATCGTCCAATGTGTCGGATACCCGATCGATCAAAGCATGATTTTTACAGCAACATGATTGCCACAGCGACAAAAAGTAAACTAATACCTGAAAACGTAGAAAAGTTATGTTTTCTTCATTTTAATTTAAAATAAAACAATTTTTGACACATTATATTGTGCAATGCTTTCTTTGCGGATTCTTACATCCGATTACACAACATATGAAAACGTTTTTAGACCTAAAAAATTAAGGTAAGTCTGAAAAATCATGCTCCGAATGCAGTATCGACACCCGAATCGTAAATCAGGTCCCGAAATTACGGGTACCCGAACGTATTTATGTATCAGGCAACTCGACCTTACCCGATCATTAGCCGACCCAACTTGAAGCTGGTGCACCCGCAATTTCGGATACCTGCGCACCCCTAACACAACTAACTCGAATGTTTTGGGTAGCCCGACTAGGGCGGGGTCAGACGTGCTCCCGTTGCCCGTGATACACGTGATTCAACTCCAAATTGTATTTAAAATTGATTGTATTACGTTCTTAAACAAACACATGCAAAATCTTTGTCTATATGGAAGTTTGGAATAAGGTAATTTTTATATGAAGAAATAATATTTTTAACAGATTTAAGTGGAATGAATTTCATTCGATGTAGCCTGTATATTCATTTTATATAAAGTATATTAATTGAATTTTTACTTTATTCTGTTAACAAATGAATTGTTTAATATTACAGTACTAAATACACGCATAAAAATGAATAGTTACTGGATGTTTTATAGTAATAAGAATATACAACCAATTTTTAAAAAACACAATTTTTCCACATTGTGTGGTAATAATTTTGTTGAATACTTGGTTGCGTAAAGAAGCTGAGTATCAAAAACTGCATTATAAACGTAATACAATTAATTCCAAACACAGTTTTGAATCGAAACACGGGTATCGCGAGCTACGGGAGCACGTCCGAGTCGAGCGACCCGACTATTTCCGACCTGACCCAAAACAGTCGGGTATCACGGATGAATTCGTGTAGCCAATATTTAAAAACAGATTTGTATTTTTTTTCTTTAACTCTAGATTGTTCCACTATAATATACTATACTACGCGACACGTGACAAACTTTTATCAACGGCGACTCCTGAAATCTTCTTTCTTGATCGATGGATCGATGTTGAGTAGTCAATTGTTGGGAATATTGTGTCTAATGACGCAACTCGTTCGTTTCTTACATGTATACTCTCCGAACTTGCCCGTGTAACCTGGTGAAACGATCCCCAATCGACCCTGGATCTTCGATCTCTAGATCTTTTGATCCTTCTTGTAAGACGGGTAACCCGAAACAATCGAGTTACTCGAGTGTACGAATGTGTTGAGTACCCACTCGAACCCACCAAAACCCGCCAAACTTTTTCCAACTCGATCCGAACCCGATATATAGGGTACCAACACATCTAAATTATTAGTCCCAATACACACTATTGTACCGTTCTCGGTTCGATCACATCCCTGAGTATCCATACTATGGAGCCGGTTATGGTCCAGTCACGCTTTGCTCTCGATACAGTTACTGACCGCGTGAGGTAGCAGCTGGTTGTATTTAAAGCTACATCCTGACTATAATTAGGAAGTGAAACTAATGAAATTTGGTATGCTTATCGAGAATCATTCAAGGAACAACATACATTTTTTCAGATTTTTAAAAACGAGAATAAAGGTTCGTTTTTGTAAAACAAAAATTTCTTTAAAATTTCCATATTGAAAAAGGGTGCATACAACAAAATTAGCAAAATTCTTAGAAAGTTCCATCTTTTACGATGCGAATGAAAAAAATGGACTACAGATCGAAGAACACGTTCATACTATAGGATTAGTTTCGGTCAGGTTCGATCTTGCTCCAGCAAAATATTCTTTCCAAGGATCGTCACTCGGACGAGAACAAACCGTGACCGGAGCTTTATTCATAGTGTGTTACGTACGATTTAAACCATGGAATAATATTTGACCGAACCGAGAGTGGACCGTGACCGGAGCGGGAACGCTATGATAGTGTGTATCAAACCTCACGTCATATCATTTTCACAGCGCGCGTTTCAAACGATCGGATAACAAGAAAAACGATAGACAGTAATGGAAACAAATATTTTCCTACATTGAGTATATCTATTTATTTCTACAAAATATGTATGTTCTACTTTTGAATACGTACAAAATAAAAGTTTTATAAATTCAATATAAAAGTACATAGTATACATTAATGAAATTTGAAATTTTATGTGAAAATAAGAGAATTCTAAATTAGGTATTAAAAAGGTAGATTTTAAATGAGGTAGTAATTTAAAAAATAGCAGATAATTTTTCATGCAAAAATTAAGATCTGTAAAACCAAAGAGAATTAAGAACTTACCCTTAATAATAATACTTGCATGTTTTGTTCGGCAAAACGTCTAGCAATGCATGACCGAGGACCATGACCGAATGGTAATAATACATACGGATGTATTGATTTTCCAGAATTTATCTTGTTGCTGTTATCTGAATTATCACGTAACCATCTTTCTGGTATGAATGAATCTGGTTCATTGAAGTATTCAGAAAGACGACAAATAATTTGATTTTGTGTTACAACAACAGTCTAAAGGAGAAAAGTATATATACTTTGAGGAAAGTATAGAAAATGTAGACAGAAAATTTATTTCTGCTTAAAAAAATTAGAACAGAAAGAAGTAGAATAAATGAAAACAAATCAGTGTCAAATTTTAAAAAGCACAACTAAAAGTGACAATCAAAGTAAATTTTCAATTGTTAAACATAAACTTTACAGAATCTGTGTTATATTGAGTAAGTTATACATATGTAATCAAGTTTACAACTTACCCCTTTAGGTACTTGGTAACCATTTAAAATCACATCAGTTTGTAGTATGCGACCTACTCCTATCGAGATGGGATTTAATCGCAAACTTTCTTTGATAACAGCTTTAGTGTAAGAAGCATTTCGTAAAACTTCCACTGTTATTTGTTGATTATGATGATCTAGTAACTGCATAGCTTCAGATCTCAGTTTTTCTTGAATATCTTGATTTTTTGCAAGATGATATAAAGTAAAAGCAGTACTATAGGTGGTCTAAAAATATTACAAATTTATTATCTTTTTATAATAACTGACCTATAGT